GCCTGTACACTAAGAAAATCTACTGGAGCTTTTAATTATTGTGAGCTTGATTCTTTTCCCCACACTGAGACATTATAACCACTTTTAGTGTTCCCCCACCTCCTGAATCCACTTTAACCCCTGACTGCACACATTTCCTGTTTAGAGGCAAAGTCCCCTCTACAATGGAGGCAACAGGAAATAGAAACATATTTTTACTTTCCTTCTTTTTCTCTGCTCATGTTCAGCTGAACTGATTCAAGATGAGTAGAATTATTAGAATTAAAATTTAGACTGAAATAAAGTTTGTATTCCTTTCAAATACATTAATATAGCACATGGTTCAGGCAGCTTTGGACGCAAACAGCTGGAGCCACAGCTGTGGTTGTGATTTGACATTGTATAAATAATTGTATTGAATTGAATAGAAATGTCCTCCAAAGAGGTGCTTTTTACTTTCAGTACATTTCTGAGCCTGTACTTTTTTACTTGAGTAAAAGTTGAATCAATATTTTGACTTTACTGGAGTATTTTTCAACACTAGTATCTGTACTTCTACTAATGTACAGAATGTCTGTACTGTTGGCACCTCTGAACTTGGCAGAATAAACCTGTTTTCATCTACAAACAATGTCACCAAAACCTATCACAGCCACCATACTGTCCTTCTACTGCTGCCACCACTGGTGTAAGCTACATTTTCAGAAGAGTAGTTTTAGAAAGGTGAGAAATAAAATGTGCATGTTACTCTACTCTGAACCGTGTTTTCAGCTTTATTTTTATTATGTGGCTATTTTAGGAGACTCGACCTGTTGTTATTGACCTCTGGATTTCTGAAGCATTCAAATAACAAGTCACACGAACATGCTAATGCGACCTTCATCTCTGTACCTGACGAAGGTCACACAGACCGAAATGCTATAATATAAATAAGGACAGCGAGTGAAAGAAAGCATTGAGTTTCCAGCTAATCTAAGCTTCATGCTAGCTCCATAGTCAGCATAGTAATGACCTGTCCATCGTTTCATTTTGTAAACATCATGCACAGCATTTAGAAAGCTGCTCATTTCTTGATGGACCCACACCTTCCACCATTTTAGTGTTAAACTGTTATTACTGGTAAATCACTCGCACTGAGTTTGTTACAATAAAAGTCCTGCTAGTTACAGCTTAGAGTAGGTTTACTTTTGGTTTTTCTAACGTTCCTAATACAAAGATCCTTTCTTCTTTTTGCTATATAGATCCCTGGTGTTGGTCATGCCATAACATGTTCCTCCAGAGTGCGTACATGCCAACCCTCCCGCTTTTTGCAGGAGAATCCCGAATTTCAGTGCCCCTCCCGAAAATCTCCCGGAGCCACCATTACTCTTGTTACTCTTTCTGGGTCGCAAAATAAACTTTTAACATATTTTCAGGCGAGAATGTAGCTGAGTAAACTTCAAATAACTTAAACATGTTATTGTTTGGCCTTTTTCAGTGTTTTATTTGTTCGTGAGTAAATCGGTTTGGCTGAGATTAAAGTTATTAGATTAGATTAAATAAAAACTTTATTAATCCCTCGGGAGGGTTCCTCCGGGATTTTCACACAGCTGACTAAACGTCAAACAGAAAACTGATTAAACAGAAGTGTGAGATGGTCGAGAATCTACGTCAGCGTCTGATTATATTTTAGACAGCAAGGAGCAGACGGCTGAGTTTCACTCCACTGAGAGAGCTCATGACTTAATTCTGAAGGCTAGACCGTCCCATTTCACAAGCCTCGCACTTCCGGCCTTAGCGGTCTTTAAGTACGCGGCCCTTGAGGAACGTTGAGGCTGCGTACTTTAAGGCTGCAGACCCTGAATTGACAAGTTACCCTCAGATAGAGGGTAAAGTGGGGAACTGGAGATATGAAGTTGTGAGCTGGGTAGTGTAGTAGTAAGACTACACACCTTTGGAGTGGGAGTCAGCAGTATATGTGTATATGTGTATATATACGAGGCCATGACGTCTCCAGAAACATCCAACCAGGGGGGCTATTAAGGAAAACAAGGCAGAGTTGAAGTAGCTATGCTCATTTTTACATACAGTCTGTGGTATTTAACGTGCTAACAGTGTTAAACCATGATGGAACAGCGTCCATGTTCAGCTCGCAGGGTAAATACAGCGTCATACCTGTTTTGCATCCACCATGTCCCTGATTTCATCCAAGGCGCAGCCGCTGGGTGCAAAGAATCCCCAGCGGTAATGAACTCCTTTCATCAGGTGCTGCACGAAAACAGCAGAAAAAAAATGAATCAGCACAAACACAGAACACTGAAATACTTTAATACATTTAAAATAAAAGACAATCATAATGTAGAGATATATTTCAAAAAACAGAAACATGATGACTTATTTTGATATTATTGTTGTTGTCTTTATGAAACTTTTAATTTAAATCGTGTTCCCACTGACATATTTTCTAGTTCCATTTATTTTTAATATTTGTGCTGATTCAATCTCATCAAACACAAAGGGAGAAATATATTTGATGTAATGACCAAAATATGAATAAATAAAACATAAAAACGTGGATAAGGACAGATTCGCACCAGTTTCGGTTTGTTTGTTTTTAAAGCTCGTGTTGCTTAAATACATCTGTGAGTCGATAACAACCCACAAAACTCAAGTCACCGAACACCCAAACTATGAATCAGCTGCTGGAAAACCTGCGCCGTCACAGATCTGAGTTCAGATTACACAGATTCTGTAGGCGCAAAATAATAAGACAATGCTGTGAATCAAATCGTCTGATATTCAACAAACACAGTGTGTGACAACAGCAGATGACCCCATTTCAACCCTTACACTTCTGTGGAAATGGAAACAGTCACTGTGTGGTTATATGCAGGATGAAGGTGGTAAAGAAGGCCAGGGTGTGTGTGTGTGTGTGTGTGTGTGTGTGTGTGTGTGTGTGTGTGTGCGTGTGTGTGCGTGTGTGTGAGAGAGAGAGAGAGCGGGGGGGGATTGGAAACAGTCTCTGTGTTAAAGGAAGCGAAAACACAAAGTGCACAAACACACAGTTTCATTTGTTTCCTGTAGATTTGCTCCAGGTATACCTCCATCCTGCTTCACCTTCAAATCTTCAAAACTGATGTTATTCTGGAATAAGTTAGCGTGAGTAGAATCTGTGCCAGCCTGCAACCCCCACAGTCTGACATCGACTCAGTAACTTTACATTTAACAAGAAAAACAATGGAAGGTTTGTGGGGCAGTCCCGCCCTGTTACCGCCATCCACGCTCTTCTTCCGCCTCCTTCCTGATGCAAAGATTAAATTTACTTTAAAATGAGAAACCAGAACAAACACGACACTGATAGAAAATTTTGAAAAATGACAATAAATTTGTGGTTTTTCCCTTTTTTGGCAAATTAACTCGAGTCTTATAAACAACAACTGTATACAAGAGATGGATACGGCCACTGTGACCCAGCTGTGCCTTTTGCAGTCAAGCTACCATAACAGGAGCCAGAGTCCTGAGTTACCAGCCTCTTGGATGGTCTGTTAGCACAACAACGTCACAGCTGCCACAGTATTAGTCACACAACTGCATAAAAACATGCAAACAGCACAAATACAGTCCAGAGGTGCAGATCCGGGTCTGCAATAGCTGAGGTGAAGCTGAGCAGACTGCTAGCATGTATAGCATCCACCTGTCAGTCAAAGAGGCCACACCCCCAAAATACTGCAAATCTTAAGTCTTAATAAAGTTTTAAACGGGTGCATTACAAAAACATCCTCCCCCTGTGCAGCTGATATGAAGAGAGACTTTCTGTATCAGGCCGTAAACAGGCCGAACCTCACTGCTGGAGCCTCTAGTGGATCTCAGAGGAACTGCAGCTTCTTTTTCTTTTTTCTTAATTTGTAAACATTTATGATCGGGAACAAAACAGAGCTGACAATATTTCAGCCTTGAACATGACACTTAGAAACCTGTAAAAACAAAACAAAACAAAACAAAAAGATTCATTTGTTTGAAAAAGTCAACGATGAACGTTTGGACGCCTGGAACGAGCTGAACATGAACCTCTTCTGTCCTGAATGCCAGCATCTTGTTCTCGCTCAGTTTTGGTTTCATTTCAGCCTCTTTCTCTTTTGTCTTTTAGTCCATGAGTCATTCCTGATTAAACTCTCCTCCCTGCTTCAAAGTTGTGCTGATGGCTTAACTCTAAGAGCTTTTCATAAATGAGGATCAGATCTGCAGGTCGCAGATGAGCTAAAAAAACATCCTTAAACACTAAATGCACCACGAATTATCATTCAATGTGAATTTGATATTGCAAAATCATTAGTGCGCAGTTACCCGTGTGTGTAACTACATGCAGAATTTGGTTGCTACTACAAACTTTGTATTGGGGAATTTCAGTTACAGTGGTTTATGCCGCCGTGGAAAATGAGACTAACCTGAAACTCTGAACTACTTCTGAAGTTACCCACACTTGCCTGACCTCAGACGATGTTTCAGATACAAATACTTTCCTTTTTAATTTGAAAAAATTTGACACGAATCCTCTCTACACATGCAGCACATGGTACTGCTGTTTATTTTCCATTCCCCACCTACACTGAGCCCACAGGTTTCTGGACAATTATTCATTTTTATGTAATTTCCACAAGAATGACTAGTTTGACAGAACTGCAGCTATTTTTACAAACAGCTCCCCATTTTGAGACGCTCAAAAGTAAGTGGACAACTGACTGACGAGCAGTTTCAGGACCGGGCGAGGCCTAAACCTTTGCTAGTTAATGATAATTAAAGCAAACTATTTTTGAAGTTGACTCAAAGTGTTGAACTTATATTTGGTAAGTGTTCGCGCAGACTGAAGCGAAGATCCAAAGATGTCACTGCTCAAATCAACAGTCTGGGACATGTTTTAACTGTACATATAAATAACAGCCTGAGACAAGTGAAGTGTATGATGACAGAATCATTTCCATGATTTACACAAACATCATCACCACATCGAATCAGGTCAAGAACGCACTGAAGGACGTAGGCGTTATTTTTTCATGTCAACAATAAAGAGACGGCTCCATAAATGGAAATATTGAGTTACGACCACAGTGCGCAGCCACTGGTTACGCTAAAGAGCAGGAAGGCCACATTATGCTTCAAATACATTTATGTGCAGGGTTCAGGAAACCAGTTTGGAAAGATTAAACCCAAATGAAGTTAGACCAGAATGATAGAAGCAGGATGAGTGTGATGCGTTCGAGGCTGTACTCTCTGCTCAGATTCATACACAGCTCCACAGCAGGTGGATACGATACTACAAAACAACCCAAGAAATGAGAGATTCTACAGCGAGCAAGTCAGTCACCGGATCTCAGCCTAACAGAGAAGCTTATCAGTGCCTGAATCCAACACTGAAGGCAGAGAGACCCACCGGCAGGTCTGCAGAGCATTGTGGAAACACCGAATCAGACAGTGCCCGTGACTTCTACACTTCATTTGCTGACAGCAAATGAAGTTCATGCTGTTAAACTGGAATTAAAGTTTCCATTTCAATCGTATATTTATTTATTACTGAATTGAAAAAAAGAAAAAGATGTGGCTTAATGTGTAACCGCTCATATTTCCACAAAGACTGAAGGGTGTAACTTATTGTTCTAAAACTCTAGATTATCTCCTTGCATCTTGATTCTGCATCCTTTGCTGTGCAGAGTCGAGCACAGCTGTGGATTCTGTGGTCGGGCGAGTGCACTGCATGCAAAGTGCAGGCTGTTACTATAACACCCACAGAGGATGTGAGTGCTTGTGCGTGCGTCTGTGTATAGGTGGACGATGTCATCTGCTCCGACAGAGAGTTTAGGAGTTCAGGACTGTTTTCTTTATCTGCCTTGCAGCAGGGGGCGGGGCCTCAGCCACCAGAAAGTAACCTGCTGCATTTTCACATTTTTTCCACCTGTTTCTTCAGGTACCATGTCTGATTTTTAGGGACCTGGAAGAAATGCGCAGAGTATAAAAGGAACACAAACCTAAATTTATCTGCAGAAAGTCCACAACTGCACATATTATGACACAAGTCAGAGCTACTACTGGAATAAATCTGTTCTAATTCTAACTTAGATTCCATACTTGGCAATTGGGAGAGAAAAAATATATTATTTTGTAAGAACAACTCGGCAGACAGTCAAAAATGGAACGTAAAGGACAAAGTTAAACATCTGTATGAATTATTGTGTGGATTTGTTCATTAATAGCCAAACATGTGTCCCGTGTCTGGCCCAGGAGCTCCTCCCAACAAGGCATGTCCAAAACAGCATCTGGATCAGATGCCAAACAACCTCGGCTCTTCACCGTCAGCTCTCACAGAGGAGCTCGATCGTCTTCCTTCGCTCTACCGCAGGTTGCAGTCACATGGTGAGAGTAGGCGTGTAGAACAACCACAACATCAGCACCTTCAGGGTCATCACAGCGTGCAACACTGCACCTCGCACTCCTGAAACACAGACTCCTGCATTCAGGGCAGAAATTCCTCCCCAACCCAGAGTGAGCACTCCACCCTTTTTCTGGTGGAGAATCATGACCTTAAACTTCAAGGTGCAACTTTTCATCCCTGCAAACTACCACGAGATTCTGAGACCACTGCACCTACAACCTTTGCTCATGAACATTATGAACAGAACTCCAAGGGCAGGCGTGGTGGAGTACAAACCCCACCAGGAACAAGGGCAGTGATACGAGCCAACCTTCCACTATAGCTGTACCCAAACCCAGGTGTTAAAATTGAAAATAAACACCACTGAATGTGTCTGTCGCTGGTTTAATATTCTGACCCTACAACTGAGAAAACAAAGTGTAAAAAACCTCCTGTTTCTATGAAAGTTAGAAAACTAAACAACTCCATCTAAGCTTACTTTTAAGGCCTTGCTGGCCACTGTAGCGGCGGACTGCATCATGCCGTCAGCTACACCCAGCCTGTCGGTGTTCTGCATGAACGGCGTCACCAGGGTGACGTACTTTGCGCCGCTCCACGGCTTCAGCAGCTTCAATGCCCAACTCTCCGTGTCACCCCCGACATTATCCAGGATCAGGTCGAACCTTAAAGATAACAAAGTAAATCAGACCAAGATGACAAACGGAGGCAGAGATTCAGTCGGAGCGAGGCCTGCTTACTTCTCCAGAGCGCTGAGCGGCTCCTCGACGGGCCCAGCGGTGTAGTCCACCACGTGGTCCGCCCCAAGCCCCCTTAAGAACTGCTCGGCGTTCTGGGAGCAGGTAACGGTCACGTGGGCACCCCACGCCTTCACCATCTGAGCAGGAACAACATCAGACTTGTATACAAGTTTCATTTCGGTTAAATCAAATGTTTAGTTTTTCATTTTAACCATGATGAAGAAAAAATGTAAGAATTTGTTCTTTTTAAGCTAAAGAAGTGCAGTTGTTTTTTTTTTCTCTAATATTTAAAGAGAGATGGTGTTGAAGCTGATTTTAAGGATATTTTACATGTTTAGCTTTAATGTGTTTTTACCTAGTGGAAAAACTGCAGCTGTTTTTTAACGGTTTACGTCTGCGATCAGACGTCAGAGTTAACTGTGCTTAAATCAAATATTAAATGTTTCCCAGAGACCAGGTGAGCGTCTAACCTGTGAGCCTTTTTCAGATCAAACGTTACTTCATTGTGACATGTCGAGTGTTTAGGTGACCATAAGTGGTCATTATTGTCCAGCTTTTCATGCGTACCTGTACAGCAAACGTTCCCACTCCTCCAGATCCTCCAAGGATCAAAATCCTGCAACAGAAAAGCCAAAACAATGAAGGAGACAACCGAAGCAATCACCTGGTCAACTGAAGGGAAACCCGGCGACTTTTCCCCCCAAAAAAGAAAAAAACAACTACAAGGAAAAAAAACGTATTTTTTCTCCTTTCAGCTTGCAGGTACTATCAAACCGATTAATAAAGGCAAACATTAAAAAGCAGCTGGTTGTGTTGGTCGGAGGCAACTGTTATACAGGTGTGTTCATGTTAGCAGGTAAGCTAACATTAAGCAGAAGAAACCTTTGGTCAAATAGAAACAAAGCTGCGATGGGATAAAGTCAATGCAATGCAGCTAATATGAGAAATATAAGACAATAATTCTAAATTACTGCATGTATCTGCATCATGTATTAAAACAGGACTTTATTTACCTGAAGTTAAAAAATACTCTCCATGCTTCCATGTTGTGTAACATGAGATCCGAGGTTCAATCCTGCTGCTCGTATTTGTATTGTATTTCTAAGTTGGTGGTTTTTGTCCTCGTGATTGTCACATGAGGGTTTCAGGTAAGTGTCAGCAGGTGCCTGGTGGATGTGGCCATCATTCAGTCACCTGTGTTGCACTGTTGGTACTTGGTACACAAAGCAGCGCAGGCACTGATACAGCTGTTTATTATAGCTCAATCTGCACTGTCCACAACGCTTTGACTTTTCTCCACTCAGCAGTTGCTCGTGTGTTTTTCATCCCGTCTTCCTCCCCTCACCCCCAACAAAGGCCTCTTTGGTGAAACAAGCGTCAGGTTAGTTACATCGCTGTAGCTGGTTTATTGGTATGTTTCCGGTGGCTCATTTTATTTACACTGAGACTGATGTGGGGTAGGGACATTTTTCCCTCTGTTTTGTCTTGCAGGTAAATTAGTGTAAATTCTAAACACACTGGTCAGGGCTCATTACCCGGTCCAATCTCAGGACTTAATAAAAAATATCTTTATAATTATCAGGTTCTAAAATGAGGTTAGTACAACCTCAGATGGGCCACGTGTCGTTATTTATGCCACAAAAAGCACAGATGCAGAAGCAGTTTGTGAGGAATGAAGTAATATTTGATGAAATGGCTAAATGTTATTAACTAATTGTTAGGGTGGCGGTGGCATGACTTTGGCCTCGTCTGATTGGTCAATTAATCAAATAAATTGTTTCACTCATCATATTATTTGCATCTAGAGTTTACGAGGCTCCTTTTAGATCCCGCCTTAATAAGCGAGCTAAAAGGGGCTCAGGAGGAACAGTTGGCGAGCTTCACTGGGATGGATTAAACTTTCCATGTCCTCACCTCTTGTTGGCACAGTTGTCCTTTCTCAGACCGCCAGTATTAACCAGCGCTGACCAGGCGGTGGTTGCCACGTAGGGAATGGCAGCAGCCTCGATGTGGCTCAGACACTTTGGTTTGTGGGACACCTAAACAGGACAAACAGTAATA